GGAACCGGTCCATATGTGGGATCCGAACCCTTGGGCGGGAGCGCCGCCGCGCTTCCCAAGCAGCGCACTATCCAGTGCGCCACCAGGCCGGCCCAGAATACACAATTTTTAAGTGCCGTGGAATACTCACCTAGATAGATTTAACAAGAGGTCAGTATCTGAAAAATATCTGAAAACCCCAAACTTTTTTGGAAATTAAACTACACACTTCTGAATAACTAATCAATCAAAGAATAAATTACAAGAGAAATTAGAAATCATTTTGAAATGAATGAAAATGAAAAGACAACCATTACTCTTATTTAAAATCAAAATACTGATATAAAGATAGGGAGAGATTTATATCCCTCCTATTTATCTGCTTCTTAGATTTTGTGCTTCTTTCATAATTAGTGTCACTGCAGTTTCTCTGTAAGTCACGCATGGCTGTGCTTCTGCTGCAGGGGCTGCTCCTGACCCTAGGGAAGTCTGTCCTTGCCCATTATCTAAGTAGTCTTCATCATTTTTTTCTAGTTCAAGTGGACAAACATTTACCAGTTTCAAAGGTCATGTTTCTGGAACTGTGGAGGGGAATTTTTGGAGCAGTAACAGACAAGTACAAGTTACAAGTTTCTTATGCTAACCGTAATTAAAATCTTGTCAAAGCTGCTTCCTTTTTCTCAGTCCTATCTGGGGAATTCTGGTCCACCTACTCCTTACATTTTAGACTTTTTGTGAGTCTTCAGTTCCCTTCTGACTTGTTTCTGCTAACAATCCTTTAATTGTTTTGACTTTTTGGAGTTTTATAATCAATTTTCCCTACCTTCAGTCTGGTATCAGCTTCAACTTCATTAATTCCTCTATGCTTGACCATGTTAGGCATTAAGCTAGGTACTAGGTTTGCAAATGGGGTGGGAGACTTTTAAATCAGATAATTAGAGTGGGGTAAATATTTTGACAGAGACATGTTGGAAAGGCTATGTGAGAAGACATTTGTTTGACATTAATTGACTTCTTACCTTGTACCAGGCACTGTGCAATGGTCTGTCTCATCAGAGTAGACTTCACAGCAAAAATAGCATTTGAGTTCAATTTTGAAGATACTGTTAGGAGTTTTTGAGGTATGGTGGAGGGGGTGGTATTCTAGGCATAAGGTATTGATTGTTCAACAGTGAGGCATGGAGTTGTGGAGGAGCAAAAATGACCAGGGAATGGGTAATCTGCTTTGGCACTAGGTATTTATGAGAACTTGGAGGTAGTGAGTGAATGGTGAGAGAAAGGGCTAGAAAGGTTGTGAAACAACTTCTGTCTTTGTAGGGAGTTTAGTCCTGTTTCTATGGACATAGTATTTATTAGCTCCATGGGTACTCTTACCAATACTACCATACTACCTGTATCTCTTATTTCTTTGGTTATTTTGCTCACTGTAGTGATCAGTGAATCCAAGTGGTGGTGACTACTAGCACTGTCTATCATGCATTTTTAAAAAGTGGGAGGGAGTGTGAATAGAAAAGTTACCCTGAAGCACGAAGCCAGGCATGTGGTACTCTTTTACCTGGAGCATTCCTTCTGGGGTGTAATTAGCTTTTTGAAATCCTTTTTTTAAAAAAATTAAAGGTAGGGGAGGAAGAGTTGAGGTATAAACAAATTACTTTGAAAAACACCCTATAGTATAAAATTTCAATTTATTGCCCACCCTGAAATTTTTATTCTTTTCCTTTAGGTTTCTTGCTATTTAAAGATTTTTGTTTGAATGAAATTAATGAAGCTGTACCTCAGGTGAAGTTTTATGAAGAGGTAAGCAGTAACTATTTTACTGATGCTTTTATTTCAAAAGCATATTTAAACTGTACTTTGGAAAATGTTAAGACTACTAACTATCCTACAGATATTTAGAAATTAATTTTAAGTAATTGGTAGTGCAAAATATAGTATCAAGTTTATTAGAGATGCTAACAATGTCTGTAAAAAGCTGGGCATGCTATAAAAAATCATATTCTTAAAAGGTTTTCAATGCTACGGGAGCAATGAGAAATAGTTAGACTAAAATTCCAGAGAAAGGAAAATCATTCAGTGGTGCATTGAGAATTACTAGCCATTTTATTTTCTGTAGAAGTAGGCCGATTCTGAAGATGTAAGCTGAGGCAGAGGCCACTACTGGGTTTGAAAGAGAAACTAGCTACTGGGTTTGAAAGAGAAACTAGGCTTTCCAGTTGTACTATAGTGACAAATTGGAGACTTGGTTGGGTGGGGTGCTCAAATACATAATTGTTTTTCCTCACAAGACATTTTGTGAAATCTGAGGTTGGAAGAGGGCTGAAGAGATAGGCCAGAAGCCTCTGGAAAGCACACTGAAATTTCCTATAGCCTTATGGTGCTTAGGAAACATAGATCTACTGGGGGCAGGAATCTGAAAACAGAACAGGCAAGAGATGAAAACCCTAGAGGGAGTGGTCTATTGACAGTGAAAATCTACAGCTACTTTTCACCTGGGCCAGCTATTGGTTCCAGGTGCAGTGGGCACATGAGAATCCAGGCTTGGCTGCTTCTGGGAGATAAGAAAGCCAAAAGAGGTTTCTGGGGCTAGAGTAAAAAAGAAACAGAACAAAACAAGAAAAACCAGAAAAGAAAAAGAAAGAGGCTGGAGGAACCCAAAACATGTGATTAGTCATCTCAAGAGACATGCCAGGTTTTGAAGCTGAGTGGATGGGAGGCCAAAATGCTAAGCTGAAAACTTCTTAAGGGAAGAACTGAATCTAGTGCTGAGGAGACAAAGATCTCTCATTGAGCTCTAGGGAAGGCCATTGCTTAGAAATAGAGTCAAGCCAAAGGCAGACTAGGCCCTACAAAAATGGCAAATCAACCCAGCTCAATCTTTTATTGGGTGATGAGCCTCCTCCTAACCTACTTGACAGAGTACAAGGGGAGCTCTTTCTGTCTTTTTTGCAGGTAGATGATAACATTATATAAAGACTCTAATAGTGTTCAGCATATAGTAAAGAATTGCTAGATATGCTAAGAGGCAAAGTCACACGACTTATAAACAAGGCAATAGAAGGAGACCCACAGATTAATCAGAGTTTGGAGTTAACTGACAAGAGCTTTAAAAAAACTATAAATAATATGTTCAAGAAAATAGAGGAAAATATGGACAAAATAGATGGAAGGATAGATAATTTTGGCATAAATTTATTTATGAAGAATCAAACAGACATTCTTGAACAGAAAGTATAGTATTTAAATTAGAACCTAATGGTTAGGTTTAATAGTAGATTGGTTACAAAACAAAATTAATACTTAGGAAGGCAGACCAGTAGACAATCTCAAACTGAAGCACAGAATAAAAAGAATAGAAGAGAGAAATAGATAGGAGCATTAAAGACATATGAGAGATACTTAAAGGTCTAATGTATGTAGAATTGGAGTCCCAGAAGGAAAAGATAGAGAATGGGGAAAAAATAATTTATGAAGGGGTAATACTAAGAATTTGACAAAATGGTAAAAGACAGTAGCTTACAGATTTGAAAAGCTTAGAAAAGAATGAATACATCTTTGCATATCAACATAAGGTTGTGGAAAGTTATGACAAAGAGAAAATCTTAAAAGCAGCCAGGGTGGGGGTGGGGAAGACATTACTTTTTAATAGAGTGACACTTTGACTGACTGTGGTATCTTAAGAGAAATGATTAAAAAACCAAAAAGACAATGAAATGACCATGAAAGTACAGAAAGGAAAAAAAACCTACCAAAGTGGAATTCTATTTCTAGCAAAAATATTCTTCAAAGGTGAAGGTGAAATAAAAATATATTCAGATACACAAAAATTGAGGGAATTTGTCAACAGTGGACATGAATTGCAAAAAATACTAAAAGGAGATACTTTAGGCAGAAGGATAATAATCCCAGACGGAGATTCTGGAAGAAATTAAGACCATTATGAAGGGTAATATGTATGTAAAATATAAATGAATGTTGACAGTGTAAAACAATATTGTAATGTTTCTGGAGTGTAACAAGTATTTAGAACAAAAATGCATGAAAAAAAAGCAAGAGAAGGTTAATGAAGTTAAAATATTTTAAGGTTCTAAGGTTATTGGGGGAAGTAGTAAAAGTAAAATTTGCATTGAATTGTAATCAGTCAAGAATGTATATTGTGATCTCTAAGGTAACTTCCAAAAGAATAAAGTGTATACTTGGAACAGGTTAAACATGGAATGAAACAACATTTGATCAATCAAAAAAGGCAAAAAAAGGTTAATGAAGTTAAAATATTTTAAGGTTCTAAGGTTATTGGGGGAAGTAGTAAAAGTAATAATTTGCATTGAATTGTAATCAGTCAAGAATGTATATTGTGATCTCTAAGGTAACTTCCAAAAGAATAAAGTGTATACTTGGAACAAGTTAAACATGGAATGAAACAACATTTGATCAATCAAAAAAGGCAAAATAAATAAATAAATAAATAAAGGGAACATAATTAAAAACAAAGATTAAGATAACTATAAATCTATCTACTTAAGTAATTACATTTAATGTAAATGGACTAAATACCCCAAGGAAAAGACTAAGTTTTTCAGACTGGATAAATAACCAAAACCATATTATATACTGCTGACAAGAGACATACTTTGAACAGAAGATAGAAGAGGATATGTTATACAAACAGTAACTAAAACAAAGCTGGTGCATCTACGCCAATATCAGACAAGGTACACAGTAATGCTACTTTAAGATACAGATATTTCTTAATGATAAAAGGGTCAATCCAAGAGAAAGATATCACAATCTTAAATCTGTATGTTACAAGGAGTATAACTTCAAAGTACAGAAAGCAGAAATTGGCAGATATAAAACAAGACAAACTTATAATCCTAGTGGGAGATATTACCATACATCCTTCAAGAGCTTATAGAACAGCCGGGCAAAAAATTGGTAATGATGTAGAAGATCTTAATAAAATGATGAATAAACTTGACCTAATTGACATATATAGAATGTGGCACCTATCAAAAATAGAAATCACATTCTTTAAATTATACAGGAAACATTTATCAAAATAGATCATGTGCTGAGTCCTAAAGAAAGCTTCTACAAATTTCTAGATTGAAATTGCTGAGACCAAATAGAATTAAACTTGGATTTAATAACAGAGTTGACTAAGAAATCTTTAACTGCCTGGAAATAAATGTACTTCTAAATAAATAATTTATGTCAAAGAAGAAATTAAAATAGAAATTTTGAAATATTTTTAGTTAAATTAAGAAACGGCAGGTGCTATTATAATTAGCATGATATATCTTTTAAATTTTTTATTTATTTTTGCTTTTTAAAAATTATTTATTTTTTAATTAAAACATATTGATTGTACATATTTACAGGGTACAGAGTTGTAGTTTAATACATGTATACATTGTGTAGCATGATGTATCTTTACTCTAAAGCATTTTGAATGGTCCAAAGAAAGTGTAGCGTAATTAGGCCTGATATTATTAATCTTTGTGTAAACTCAAAAATTGTAAAGATATTCCTTTCTTTCTGGTTTGTTGATATATGTGAAAACCTGATATATTTCCCCACCTAAAAAAATTATATTAATGTATTTTCAGGAAGAACGGTCAAATTATCATGTACATTTACCATCAGGTTAAGAAAAGTAAGCTAAATCTAAAAGGATTTTAATTAGTATGAAGTGACCTTATTATTTCAATCTGAATCATAATAAGGCGTTTTATCAGGATAAGTATCACAGCTTGAACTGTTGAGAAAATTGCTTTCTTGTGTTGCTAAAAGCTTCATGTCTCCAGTTTCAGCATGCACTAAGTCACCTGGTCAAATGCAGAAAAATCTTCCTTAGCAGATGATGTATCCTGGGTTGAAATAGATGGGCAATCCACTTGTTATTTCTTTCTTTTTTTTTTTTTTTCCTTTTTTGTCTTTTTTTTTCGTGACTGGCAACGGATCGCAACCCTCAGTGTCGCGCCCGTACTGGATTGGGACCGGCAACGGGATCGCAACCCTCGGTGTTGCCCCCACACCTCGCTCAGCCAGTGAGCGGCTGGTCTGTATGTGGGATCCGAACCCTCGGCGGGAGCGCTGCCACGCTTCCCAAGCGGCGCACTGTAGCAGTGCGCCACCGGGCCGGCCCCACTTGTTATTTCTTAAGCACTTACTGCAAATATAGTGGTGACTCCTGCTGATGTGTTTCCACTGGAACTTTCAACATTGGTGCTTCTCCTTACTGGTCTCCTCCGAGCTCTCCTCACCTACCTTCTGGCTTGGCACATGAGGAGCTGGCTTATCACATGATCCCCTGGAGAATGCTGCACAGCTCCTCAGCAATTTGCTCTATGGTCTTTTACTGAGGATATCATCTCTACCTTCTGGCTTGGCACATGAGGAGCTGGCTTATCACATGATCCCCTGGAGAATGCTGCAGAGCTCCTCAGCAATTTGCTCTATGGTCTTTTACTGAGGATATCATCTACCCTAGGGGCTTCAGTGCAATTCTCTAAATCAGAACAGCCTTTAAATATTGAAGTTATCAGTAATTCTCCTCTGACCCCTCAGGTTCATCAATCTAGTAGATTCTTCTTTAATTCTGGTTGTTGTTTTATGGCTCCAATCCTTAGAAAATTCTATTGTCAGATATCTTGAAACACATTTTGTACATTATATTTCCACTTTCCTGTGTCCCCAACCTTTTAACAGTTACTCATTTCCTATGGGTTGAAGTCCTAATTGCTTATCCTGGCGTGCAAATATCTCTTTATTACATATTACCTACCTTTCCTTCTTTA